AATTTTCAAAGGGTACTACTCCAAATTTAGGTGGAAACAATCTATCAAGTACGTTCACATGAGCATACTAAGAAAAATCGAAGCAGTCGGATGTTTCCAAGATGACCACTCGATATCCGAGAGGAAAACCGTTATTATAAACACAACCGGTATGTTTACCGAATAAGTATCCAGCAGTGTATTGCAGGAAAATTCTCTTTCACTCTTTCCGACGGATCACTCAAGAGCAGTGTTTTCAAAACCCTGAAGGGCGTAAACACGCGCTCTCCACCTTCACTGCCCCTCCCCACCGCTCTACCTGGCAATAATCACAGAGCCGAAGAACGTAGGCAAAGGGTTTGCTGTCACCAGAAATCAGCTAGGCTATCAGATAGCGAAGACCATACGGGACAGACATGACTGTTCGGTGATCTCGTCTGGATAACCAACAAGGTCATTGTCCCGGCCGGCTCTGTACTCGTGCGAATGCGCTCGCTAAAGGGTTCTACCTGGGGCACTGCGACACTTTTTTCAGTCACTGGCTTTCTTGGTATCTTCCCTAATTAAGCCTCACAGTCCTGGATATTTGATTCGTTCCCCCCTTTAAGCGTTCAAGAGCATGCTAATATATGATTTGAAAGGAATGAGTATATCCAGATGTTATATAAGTGTTAAATGTTCGCAGCACTGACTGGCAGATTTTGGTGGCAAATTCAGGTGTCGGCTTACCATCTTCGAAGCATAAGATCGCTGTTGGGGAGACGTACTCGTTCACTTGCGGATTTAACGTGCCAGCGCTTACCCCAAGTATGAACGTGCCTGGTTTGTTGGAGACCTGTTACATGGTTAACATAGCCGTTGGTCGCGCACACAACTTCGTGATCGCCTCTTTAAGAGGTGGGTATTCTTAGCACAGAAATACACCATCAGTTTCGCAAATCCTCTTCAGGTACCGATCACGATTGTCACTGATATTGTTAATATGGAGCGAGCTGTTCCTGCTCAGCGTGAAGGTTGCTTAGTTTTTCTCCATTATCAGAAATAATTTATTCGTAGAAAAGGCCTGCAAGTCACATGTGACGAGTGTCAACAATCTCATGTTAACACATTGAATGCACCGAATTGACTACATTATGACAAAGAAAAATGCTACATTACAAATAAATACAGTACGATGTCAAATAAAAGAACGGTTCAGGAATAGATTACAACAATATAATAGGAAACAAAAGTCATCGGAAGACGATTGCAGATTTACTGATCGAACTGACACCACCAACGTGGAAGAAGACGGCGCCGGCAATCGATCTCCTCGCGTGAAAAGCGATCGTCTATCTCTATACACTTTGAATGTTTGTATGTACACTGAAATGCATAAATCTCAACGCTTCTGTTAAGAAAAGAACACACCGGGTACTCACCTTTGACTATAACTGATGTGAAAAGGATTCTAGTAGATGGCTAATTGTAGCAGGACTTGCATCATTATCCGTACCTTGCGTGCTGGGGGTAGGTGCCGGTCATGCTCTTGTTTTAAATACTCGCGTTACAGTGTTCGCCCGAATAGTTACGTTTCGAGTACGGGCAAAGCAAAGATACTGTAGTGAAGAAACTTAGAACAAGAACTCCTCAGAATCAGTCACGGACTAAGAGCCCTGGAAACTACAGTCGTCATCCGGAGTTGACTAGGTGGTCAAGGAGTCGCAGACACGGCTGCGGCGCGTCACGACCGCGGCGATCAGCTGTTTCCAGCCTATTCAGCCATTTATTCTCAAATGTTCACTATATTATTTTTTCAAGGTAAGTTGTTTTTGCCTTTATGAGGTATATTAGGACGTGGATCTTTTTTCGTTTTGTAATGAAGTGTTTTTGCGATTTTTCAGGTATTTGTTCGAATGTTTGTTTAATTGAGCCAAAACCGTGAAAATTAGGCAGAAAATGGCTAAATAGGCTGGAGAACAGCTGATGGCCGTGACGCGCCGCAGCAGCGTCTGCGATCTCATGACCGCCTAATCAACTGCACGAATGACGACTGTGCAATAGTGATTAGGGTGATGCACGACCTGACTTTGATGGCATTCTACACATTACTGTAATAATGAAAGGAGCACTGGTCAAGAGCATCAATAATGATACATTTCCTGCCAATTTTGCCATTTAATTTAGAATCCTTTGAAGCTGAGATTCGATTTGGGAGTATCTTGTAGCGAAGAATGGGCTGACATTATTGCTGCTTCGTTGTAGCCCAAATCGGTTGCTCCGTAATTTTGATCACTGGCGCTGAAAAACAAACTTTATCGAGTATATGCGAGTAATGAGTTAAGCTTATAGTTCCTTTGTGGGCTTTTTCGCGCTGAGACGTGGGTCCATTATACTGTGGGAAGTCTTGTGAGGGTTACGGGCTTGAGTAGATTGGGGCTTCAAATATGAGTGTTTTTACAGTTCGCAATTTTTGAAATCATTATTCGCTGTCTAACCTTTACTGAATACTGCATCATTTTCAATCAGCCGAAACTCAGCGTATGACACCCACGTATGGGGAGGAAGTTCCTAGCTCACGCACAACTGAACGTCGGTTCAGTCAGTTATTGCTCGGAAACTATGCCATCGAAGACAAGTCCAGGACAGGGTCGCCTTTTTTCACTGGATCCGAACACACTGCAGAACAAGTTTAACAAAAAAGGCAGCTAAGCACTTGTTCACCAGCCGCGATTTCCCTTACTTTCCCAAATCATCAACCATATCTAGAACGTAGCCTGACAATCGCTGACTACAAAACGTGGAGGGCGTTCTATTTCATTTTCGTAAAATCATTGGCAGTTGAAGAAAATCGTGTGGGTAAATTGCAGCATGAAAATCCAGCAAAATGCAAAACACTTCTTTGGCTCACTATGAATAGAAGAGCTTCATGAAACTCATGAGTAAGTTCGCTGCTTTCTAATTTCTGTCTAGTTTCTGATGATCTAAATTCTTAAGGCTCCACCATAAGTTTGGATCAATGAGTTCGACACCAGGCTTTGGTGTGCATTTGGATAGGACACTAGGGGTTCGTTGATGATAGTGTCCTTGTAACGGGAGAGCGCTATAAAAGAGAAACATTAAAAGGTTGAACTTTGATCAGGGTCTGATGGACAGAGGGCGTTGGGCGTGATGATGAATACCAGGGTGTAGTATTTTTCGATTGTAAACCTATTCCTCATTAACGAGAGGAGGAAAAAAATGGTACTGGT